CTTTATTGTCATCACATCCTATACACTGTGTATAGAACATGATGACTCAGGGACCTTATACCACTGGAGCAGAGGGGGAGTGAGGCTCCAGGGACCAATTTAAGAGTAAGCTGGCTTGGAGGATTGGGTGAGTATAGCTTTGTTACTCTCCTCTGTAGACCAAAATGAGCAGTTAACCCTTGCAGTGTGAGGGTAGCTTCACTGCAAGGGTTAATTAAAAAATTATCTGGAATTCTTCTTTAATCAATAAGATTCATGCACCAATCCCTGATTATATCCCCCTGCGGTTCCCACCAATAGGCAGGGCTGTTCCCCTGTGACAGTTAAATGTATGGCAGCTAATGTAGACTTAATCCAGTCACCTCCAGTTCCTGAAGGAAGCTTGCTGCAAAACGCATTGAACTGTGTTGGGCCACATCATACAAGGATGAAGAAAAGTCCATTCTAAAACTTTGTAAACTCTTTTAATGGGTTTGCTAATATTGGGTCCTGATATAATGCACTGATTTGCTATATAATGGGCTGATTGTTGGCCCACAGAGATAGACCATAATATAGCAGAGATTTGACTGCCTCATTTATTTTTACGTTGATTTTATGTACAAGGATGCTCAATAAATTATGTTCTTATCTAACATGATATGCTATCTAATTTGCACCTATGCTATCTAATTTGCAACCCTTATACTAAATGAATACCATTAAATTTAACTTACCTTGTTCTTAATAGCACCAGACCATCCTACATAAGGATTGCTGCTAAAACCACCAAGTCTTTGCGCCAAATACAAGCAATGCCAGCTTGCTGACATCATTCACATATACATTTGTGAATAATGATTTCTTTTGATAAAGATAGCTTGTTTTAGCTATACTTTACAAAGTGAACTATTTCTTTTTTTATAAATTCTTAATTAAGTAAAGGTTATCACAAATTACAAGAAAGAAGGCAACAAGCCAAAACAGTAAGTAAATGAGTAACAATAATAATGAGAAAAGAACATTGATTGTGCAGTATAAGTAGAATTGTAGGGAACTATTTCTAACCATGTGATAAAAGCTGACATTTCTTCTGGAAAGCTTATTTTCAGATTTTGCTTTGAAGCTCTCTTGCCAATTGAGATAGCTATCGCAGTTAACTTCAGTCTCAGCGGCTTAACACTGTGTAAACTATAGAGAACTAAAGTAGTGAATGGTTTCTGGTATACAATACATCCAAGTTATTTATATTCGTTCACATACAACAATGAAGGTTTACTTATCGTATATTTCAGTTCTGTATTGTTTACAGCAGTTATTGTCTTCAATTTCAATTCATTTTGCTATACTTTATCTTTAACTGTGTTATTACACATGAGAAGCACACTCCAGCTGGGGTGTGGATTTGGACAAACTTTGTCCTTCTCAGTGAGAAAGGAAAATATCACTGTTTTAACAGGAGAATTAGTTAAACGTGTCATGGTGTTATTCCAGACATCTATGTGGCAAAAATTTAAGGGAGGTGGCTATACATAAGAGTGCCAACCATTAATGAATGTGTATTATTTAACCCTTAGCTCAGGGAACATATAATTTCCCCATTTTTATTCTATTAATGATTGATATGAAATAACAATTCTACTAGTTCAACCTTACACTAAGCAATAGTTTCAGGAAAAACAGAATCAGAAGTAGAATAAAAGCATTCCACTAATAACACCTTTAGACTTACATATGATGTAAGCTCTACAAGTAAAAAAAACAATTAAAAACAATTCAAATTTTACCCCTTATTAACACTTAGTTAGCCCAAATCAGTCCTAAGTAACTCACTTCCTCCTTCTAATAATAATAATAATGCGACCTTCGCAGTTGAAATAACATATGATCATTAGTGAATTGCCCCTTTTTTGGGGATTCCAATGGCACGATATTTGCTCATGTGCTGCAGCCATTTCAAAGAGATCTCAACTTCCTTTTTGCATTTATTTCTTGTACATTAGGGAGGTAAGAACAGAAGGAATGAGACTCCAACAGCCAGTCTTTCATGGCTGTTGGTGATAAAACAAGGATGGACAAATAAAATGCCCATGGCATCTTCCATGAGATGAAAATAAAACTTGTTCATATAGCCCAATGTGCACATTGACACAACAATCACCACGATCAGTCACACCAAAATTATTTATCTACTTGTTTGTGCATTTTAAATAATTGCTTGTTTGGCAAAAAAAAAAAACATACAGTTGCTAAGATGACATTAGATTCATAGCTTGCCTCATGAAAAGATCAGTATGATGGATAACCTCACTGGCCAATAGATTTCCTTCTGCAAAAACATATTGGGATTTTAGAAATGTACAGCTTTAGAGCAGAAGATACCAGTAAATACTTCATCTACGCTCCCTAAAATACAAACCCTGTGTACACATTTAAGAAAACTGCAATTTGTCTGATGGGACTGAGGAGAGAATTTTGTCTTTGCTGCTGTAACAGATTTCGCATGCGGAATGCCCACTTGCATATTTAAGCCATCACTTTATACTTATTCTTTGCAATATAAGAACATTCCAAGTGGATCCTTTTGAGGATAATTACAAAGTCCGGTTGAGTGATTTACCACTATTAGATATCCCAAGACCTGGATGACTTAAAACTTCATGGACATATGACAGCTCAATGTTCTCTAGTTATCAATGTTGGAACAGAACTGTAGGCTGTAGTTTCATGTAAAGATTTTTTGTTTTTTATAGTGTTCTCTGAACCTAAGGCTGTACTTAGCTGAGCTGTCAGGGATTTTCTGGATGCTCTAAGCTCTATTATTGTTGCTTTAGCCAATTTTTTTTGGTGTGTTCCAGAGGATTGAGCTAGGATTAATAAAAGTTTAAATTACAAATATTTATAAGGCTAGCCAGTCACTGTTGATGATTCCAGAGGGGTTGTGCTAGGTTACTAATAAATATTTTAAGTCTCTTTGGATTTTCAGGAATTCATAGTTAGTGTTTCCAGCAGACAGACACATGGGAACTGGACACTACAGCTCGTCTACCTTGTCCAGAAGCATTAGGTGGAGCAGACACAGGAACCTCTGCTATCGGGATATAAAAGTGGTTAAGTTGTGGATGTGGAGAATATAAGAATAAAGAAACTTTGTAAAGAAAGACAAATAAGTGATCTAATGTTTTGAGAGCTGTTTTGGCATTACTAAACTTCAAGTTCTTCCCTACAAGTTGTTCTGCAATTCAACTGTAAAACTCCAACAACCTAAAGTTATCAATTTTCCCGAAGTGGCCCTGTAACAACCAGAATTTCCTGGGAGCAATGTGCTAAAGAGTGCCTGTGATATACCATAACCTTTGCTGGGTTATTGTGGTGGGGGTCTGACTACATTTCTCAACATGAATAGCGGAAATGCCAGTGTTGGTGGTGCAAAGCTGCAACAGCTCTCAGTGTTAGGTCAGGTCAGTCCTCCTGCCGGTTTTCACTATGTAGCTAAATCTTAATTGGATTTACCTTATAATTAGGGGTGACTGAACTTCATGTTCTTCCCAACAAATTGTTCTCCAATTCAATTTTAAGAATGCAACAACCTAAAGTTTTTTGTATCAGTTTTCCAGAAGTGGCCCGGTGATGACCAGAATTTCATGGGAGTAATCTATGTGGGAGCAATTTGTTAAAGAGTGCCTGTGATATAGCATAACCATTGTTGGGTTTTGTGGTGGGATCTGACTATGTTTCTCAACATGAACATGAATAGCAGATGTGCCAGTGTTGGTGGTGCAATCCTGAGGACAACTCTCAGTGTTAAGTCAGGTCAGTCTTCCTCCTGGCTTTCACTTAGTAGCTAAATTCTATTTCTAAGCTGGTTTACCTTTCAAGTCTTAAAATGACAACCCAGTCAAAGATGACAACATTTAATGTAGGGCCCATCTGTCCATGATACATGTGTTGCAGTAATGTGCTTATTATCACGTGTTACCATACTGCTTGTTAATGTACAGCTATCTGTGTATTGCATTGCAGTGCCATTTATTTTGAATGAACCCCAATGCATCTACACAGGACACCACAAAGAACATGTGTTTTAGCGCACCACAATGCACTGATGTAAACCAAAAAGGTTTATGTCCATGAAATTGTCTGTTGTGCTGAGTTGGCAAAAATGAATGTGCTGCCTTACCACAATCCAAGTTAAGGCATGCATGGTAATGAGCGTGCAGTAATGTCCTGCAATCCATCACCACCATCTGAACATACTCAGAGGATATAGCCTACCTGCTGATTATATCTATATTTTTGCCCTGGTATTCATCCTAACCAGTTGACTTGCCCACTAACTAAATGGCTGTGCCTGCTGTATCCTTACCTTGTGGATGTCTAAATCTGGACCTGAAAACATAGGCTCTTTGTTCCCTACCTCTAAGAGCATCCTTCTGTAGTTTATCTACAGGGAAGATGTGCAGCGTAGAATAATGTGGCAGAATAAGGGGCAGTACACTATTAGGGTTGTAAAGTTCTTTTTAAATAAGGTTGCAGAGCGAATATTAAAAACACAGAAAATAGCGAAACTGTACTGTGCCCATGTAGGACAAAGCATCAATGTCAGTTAACCCTTTAATTTACCACAACACCCACTGCTTGTACCCCCCTTTGTTGTTCGATTTGCATCTGTACATAAAGAAAGTTCCAACATACAGAGGAAGGCCTCTCTCCTTCACACATGTTACAGCAATTCATCCTGACTAATGGTTGCTCAGGCACCCAGCACTGCACTGTAGGAAGAAGGATCAAGAGTTTACTGAAGTGCTTCCTCATACTTGGGTATTTCACTGGGATTCACCTATGTATTTTCCTTTCTTTATAGTGGGTGAAAGTAAAATAAGTTAAACTTTCTCACATTGCCAGAGCTGCAGTGTTTCCTAGATAGATATTTACTACTTTAATTAAGCTGTGATTAGCTGTATTATTGATTTAAGTGTATAAACTTTCATAATCATAAAAAAAATAGTGAATAGGTTTTATTAAGCATAGGTTGCACACAAAACGGCATTTAAAAAGACATATTTCACTGGAAAAAAAATCTCAGTCAAAAGAAGAAATAAGTATAAATATTGCACTTAAAAATGTTCATATGTTACAAGACCATATTATTAATTACTAAAAATATATTTCTCAAAGTTTTCAGAAATGTATAAATAAAACAATTTTAAAAGTAGTCAGAACCTAGAACAGTTCAGTTTATATCACTGGAATCTCTATGGGAGAAGCTTATATGACAGCACCCCCTAGTGGAGGTGCTAATAGGTACAATTGTAGGCGATGGCTGTCCAGTGCATCTGTCACTGTGCCTCAGGCTCAGCACAAGTCAGCTTTCTTGATGGATTGAACTGTGGGTACATAAAATCTCCCCCTTGAAACAGGGGAAACAGAACAGTCAATTTTCAAAAAACAGAACTGACGTCTAACATCTCTTATTTTTCAGTGTGTTCAGCAATTTTTGGTTCTTTGTCTTGAAGCTCATGATAAAGCTGTTGGGAAAGATCTTTGCTCTGCCTTCTTCATCTACTTGGCCCATGATAATATAATTCAAGCCTGTGGGGAGACAGCAGCACAAATTAAGACGCAATTAGATAACAAGAACACTGTGACATAAAATGTGGGACTACCACATTGCAATCATATGCACTTGCTCTCAAATCATACTTGAAGAGGATTAAAGCTCAACTCTGGGCTGATTTGTTTTGAAAAGTCTCCTTAGAGGTTTTAAAGAGAAAAAGTAATACTCTTGGGCTGCTATACTCACATTCAGTTTGAGCAGCCTCCAGCAGTACCTCTTCTTTGCACCTAGATGTCCTCAGTCTTATGGGTTGAATGATGCCCAGTGCCACTCAATCCAAAAAAGTTAGGAAAGACTGACAAGGCTATTCACAAAAGGGTGAAGAGTTTAAAGAAGACAGGAGAAGTGAACAATCTAGGACAACATAGATGAACTGGAAAGTGAGCTGAATTGGAGAATCTTTCCAAATCAGCTATGTTGTCCTAGATTGTTCACTTCTGCCTTCTCCAAACTCTACACACTTTTGTGCATAACCCTGTATGAGTGCTGGGCGTCATGGCCTTGCCCCCTACCCACAGCTCCCTGCACTCACAGATCATTGATGCATAGAACGGGGCTGATGTCATCACATTAGCACCGCTTTCTGCTTCATCCAGGACTGCCCTCTCCTGGGACAAAATCAAAGAAGAGGACCCTGTGTGTCACATGACTTGCAAGAAAATATCAGAAAAAAGAGCTTGTGGGGAGTGGCCCCGAAGTTGGGCTTTAATTATAGATTAGTGTTATGGGAGGGGGTGAGTGGGGTTAGTACCTTAGTTCTCCAGAACACCAGTTTGAACTATTCCCATGCCATGTGGCTTTTAACAGAAGAAGTTTTTTCTTTTTTAAGCACTTTCCCCACCATGGTGTATCGGGCTGACACCTAGTTAAATTAAACGGAATTACGTTGTGGTGGAAGCTGTAAGACAATTATCACTAGACATGTGCACCAGCAAAAAATTAGTTTAGTTTAGTTTCGTTTTGAAAAAAACCCAAAAACATTTGTTTAGTTTAGTTTAGTTTTGAAAAAAAAAATATTTGGTTAGTTTAGTTTCGTTTTTCGGGTCCGAAATTAAATTCGTTTCGGATGAAATTCGTTAGCGGTAGTCCTGCCGAAATTCGTTTATGAAAAAAACAAAAAAACTTTACTCTCCCATGGCTGGACTAGAACCAGCGAACTTCACAATGGCAATTAAGTACCTCTAACCACTTCACTATAGCCTCTGTACTTTAAGCATAGAAGCATTTGATATATATGACTGCAATATGTAGCAGTTGACAGCTGAGGATGTCAAATGGGCGGAGCGAGCCGTGGCGTCATGGCTCGCTCCGCCCATCTGTTGACTTTCAAACTGAATGTCATTTTTGTTAGTTTTCGTCAGATTCGGGTGGTCGTCTGCGGCGGGGCTTTTTTTATGTCGGCGGGTCGGCGGGGGTGCTGCATCCTGATCCTGACTCTGGATTACATCGATGGAGGCATTTTTTTCTTCATTTTTTTATTAAAGGAATAGTCAAAAATTGACTGTTTGTTTTTTTTTCAATTAAAGGATTTTGTCAAAAGTCTGGACTTTTTACTAACTATTTGAATTAACCCTTTAGTGAAGATGCACTGCCCAGAGACCCATGCCCTTTTTTTTACTAAAGCTTGCAAATTGCCTTTGAAAAAAAGCAGAAAAAAATTAGCCCCCATAGACATCAGTTGGCTTCAGTGCTATGTTTGGGCTTACCAGGTTCATGGTTCCCCCAACCCACCTGCGAAGCCAACTTTCACTCATTGCTGTTATTACTGGAGCTCCTTAGGAGATGAAACCATCAGTTAAAAAAAAACAAAAAACTGTATACCTATAAATTAATGAGTTTGTGTAAAATTCTATTCCGAGCAACAAAATGGCTAACTCGTATGTTTATAAGTGCTATGGACACTTTACAAAACATGCTGCCTGAAATAGGAGATTAGAACAAAGCATTTCCTCTGTCCTGCTGGGTTACGTTTATTTGTATAAATAAATATTTAACATTGCATTGTGTTACTGACCTCTTCTGATGAGTGGACAATGTTTGCACACCACAATGATCTTGACACTCATTGATTTGCCAGCCTGCTGGATGGCCAGTGTCCCCTCTTTGTAAACATTGATAATGGACACTGTTGCGTGTACACTTCCTCCTTTGCTTACTGTTGTTATAACCGTGCCAGTGATCACTGGAAGAGCAAAATAAAAGATTTATATCAAGCTTTGTACAGTCATTGCATGTTCGTAATATATTATATAATGCTGGGAGGCTGGAGTGGGATACTATATTCCCCAACATTATTTACGTTATCAGCAAAGGACATTCAGCATACATTCACATCTTGTTAGTACCTGCATGGATAACATCCAGAAAGAATGACAAATCCAAATCAATGATAACCACAAATGCTTGTGGACATGGTTATTATTCAGTATTCCTGCATATCATCTGGATGTTGTGCAGAGTGTGAAACAACCACAAAGTTTAAAGTGTATATATAGCCCAAACTTTTTCTAGTTTTGGATGAAGTCGAGAAGAGGTAAATCCTCTGACCGTTTTTTTTTTCTGTCTATGTACCAGTGGGGAAATTTCACTTCACTTGTCCTAGAGATGCAGCAGGAAGTTAGAGTAAAGCTCCAAAAGTGATGGGTTTTCTTAACCCTTCTTGGGTTAGGCTTAGTTTCAATCTCATGTGCCCTCCAGACCTGGCAATCTGATGAGTCAGACAGGAGCACCAGACAGGACAGGACTGTGCAGTGCAGCAAAGCTATGTAAATCGCAGGCCTGGATGGACAGATATACAAATCCATCAGCAAGTACTACATCTCCCATATATGTATTTATGTATTTATTTTATCTATTTAGCTGTTTGCTTGGAGTAGTACTTGAACTTTCTGTGAAAGGACTATAATTGTGAACCTTTTAATCATTGGACTGGGCAGTTTTTTGGAAATACCAGACCTCCTGAAACAAAACCTGCAGGGAGCACCTCAATGCAAGGGCTTTCATAAATGTGTGGTGTTGATGGATCCAGGAATGTCTGAGACTTTTTGAACCACCAGAGGAACTTATTATTTACACTGTATAACTTGAATTTCACCTTCCAATTTCTGACAAATTGGATTGGAAGGCAGGAATGTACAATAATAAATAACATAAAGTTGAATTTATCACGTATTTAGCCCTTTATGCTGGTGTGAACTCTCAAAGTATTGATGGTACCCCATAGACAATGTGCAGGTTGTGTTGGTTGTCCTGGTGGAGCTGTAGATTAATATACTTTACATCTAGGGAATGTGGTTCAGCTTATTAAATGAGATGTGAATGTACAATAAAATCTATCAGTCGGCCTTGTCTACATTTTCCACACAGTGATGTAATAAAATTGAACATCTCCCAGTACAAGTCCCATGCCTCTACAAGTATGAGGGAGCAGTGAAAGCAGTAAGTACCTAGTAGAATATGTACAATTTGCTGTTGTGTCTGATAACATAAAATTTTCTGAAACGTGGACATTAGTGGTCTCCTCATTAGGAACTACATGTAAAATGTCCTGTTGTGTTACCTGGCAGCAGACATAATGCACATAAATACAAAGTGACAATATTTTTAACTAGCATGCACTACTGTCTGCAATCTGACTTATGATCAAGAACCCTTGAAACTGTTGTCTGCACCTATTAACAAATGTGGTATTTTTGGATTGCAAAACTATTTGCAAAGTAACGTGTTTTGTTAATTCAGTGATTATTACACAATGACACTAACTTTAGCTTACATTAATATAGAATAAAGTTAATTTTAACATTGTGTCACATTGAAATTGAATTATAACAGAGTATGGATTTGGGCCTCAAGGTGACAAAACTGTCCTTGTCAACCAAGAATACACAGACAGTGTTCCAGCAACACAACGTTCTCAATAAAGACCTTTATATAGTAACAGTTCCCCTTCTGTCTGGCCATTTGTGTTTACTCTGTTTGCCTGGGACAGATGTTTACGCTTTTCTTTTTTAAATGTCTCAAGGAATCCTTTGACACTAATGCAAGACACAGGCGGGGCAACCCGAGTATTGATGCCAAACCTTAGCTACATTTCTTCGCCATTTCCCAACATTCATGCACACTCTCTCACTGTGACTCAAGTCACTGATTAAGGAGTAAAAGCCAGCTAATTCCTTTTTCCCTTACCAAAATTACTTGAACAGTAATTGCTCTCCAGGGATCCAGTCCTTTTGCATTTTTGTTGGCAGAGTGCAACTGTTGGTTTTAGACCTAGATAAAAAAAATATACAATAATTAAAAATATTCCAGTTAATCAATAAAAACAATAGGTGATACATACTGTAGATATATATATCAAGGTGACATGAAGCTGAAATAAAATAATAGTAATAACATGGTTCTGTAAATAATGTAAGATTCCAACCCTTATATTTGCCATACACAGCAAATTTCTCACTGAGAACAATAGGCGGTGAGAGCTCTTCCGTATTTGCCTCTGACTGCCCCCATTTCAGGCTCAGGAACTTTGAAAGGCTATTTTCCATAGAGGAAAGGGAATGAATGCTAACATAGCACAATTCTCTTTGTGATAATATGCTGCTGTCTTGCTACCCCAGTCGACTGGCTAGACTTAGTTTCACCCCTCACCACTAAAGAGCAGCACATTATGTACTCCAAACTCCTGTCCCCAATACACTATACTGTACATTAAATACTCCTATGCCCTTGCACTCTATACCCCTGGTGTTCATCTCGTGGCTACTTACTGTACACAAGCCTAACCCCATACTGCTCATTTATGTCTAGGGCTCCCCGTGTAAAGGATTTTACTTACCTGATCCCCACTCCTGCAGGCTCCTAAACTGGTGCCCACAGCTTCTTCCCCCCCTCTGCTCCAGCTGTTGGGGGTCTACTGACATCATCACGTATATTCCAGGGTCCATAGGCCTGCCTTATACGTAAGGATGGGGACATTCAACAGCTGGAGCGGAGAGAGCTAAACAGCAGGGAAGTGGGGAACTGGTAAGCAAACCTGCTTTACACAATCCCCTAGACATTAACAAGCAGTTTATCTTTGCAGTGCGGGGGTAGCCCCATTGCAAGGGGATGTTTATTGCTTCCCCAGAGATAGGCTTTAAGGAATCATACATCACATGTAATAATATTACAATTACAGCACAATCAAATGCAGATTAGTCAAAAAGCAGTACTTCACACTTAGTTCTTTATCCAAAGGACCACAGTGCATCATGCAGACAATGTCATCTGTTCCTGGCCATTACAGGTACAACCTACATATTCTGAGCTGGCCCTGTTGCTACATCACCCACAGCTGTAATATATTTGAGTTTAAACCTGCAGCACTGTAGAAAAATCTCATGACAGTTACAGCCAACCCACTATTTGCAGAATTTGGAAGTCACATTCCCCTGGCTTGGGCTTATAGGCCGTTAACCTGGTAACAGGCTAAGAGTTAATGTTACTTAGACAGTAGCAGCTAGAAATGTACTAAGCAGACACATTATTGGGTATGATTTATCACCCAGAGAGCACAATACTTTCCATATTACATCACTGCTAAAGACTAGTAAAGCAGAATGGCTCATTCAATACTGTGACATTACAGACTGAAACAGAATACAGGCATATTGCATAAGCAAATACAGTAATCATGTTCAGGCATCAGCAAGTGGCAAACCTAAAACTGAACATACAAATGCAAAAAAAAAGAAAGGCATACTTAATAAAAAAAATACACTTCAAAGTAATGGTAGAACTGAAAGAACCTGCAGTGAAATGGCTCACATACTGTATGGCATTTTTCAAAAAGTATTTGTAATTAGTTTAGGAATCAAGTCATGTTACAATTCAGTAAAATGTATTCAACGATGGTCATATTCCCACTGGAATTACTTATTCTCAGCCATCAAACACATGCCCTACAAGTATCAATCTGATTGCTGGCTCTGGAGAATTCACTCTCCAGTCCTTAATAAGAAGATACTGTTACAAAAGACTCAGTTATTTTTCTCAGGTGCTGACTCGTATTTGCAATATCCCATGGCAACCAATCATAACCCATCTTGTACTGTCTGACTTAAAGTGACATTAAACCCTCAGAGCACTGCACCTAAAGTATACCTAAAGTGACACCAAAGTTTGTGAATGGCACTGAAACTGAATAACAGTCACCTCATGGTGCCTTCACACCACCTTAGCTTATTTGTACTGGAAATATCAACTAACTCTCCTGGTTAAGAACTTAGCCCCACTACTGATGATAATGGTGGTGTCCTCAATGGTGACTAGTACAGAACACGAGGCGGGAGCACACATGGCCAGGCTCTTAGCCAGGAAAGCTGATCGGTGACATACAACAACATACACCATGTTATCCAATAGCTAAATAACTTTTATGTTACAAACTTTGGTGGCACTTCACATGCACTTTAATTGCAGTGACCCATAACAACCAATCAGTAACTCTGTTAGACAAGTACAAGGTGGAGCCTGATTAGTTGATATGGGTGACTGCAATTAAAGGTCCTTTATAGTGGTCTTTTTCTTTCTTTTTTCTTTCTTTCTTGACCAATAAAAATGCCATACTGAATATGAATATGGTGTATTATTTTATCCAACCAACAGATGGAGCTTAAGGCTAATTTTTTACATCCTGTTGAAAATAGCCTGCTGTCGACACAGTTCAGTAGCCCAAGCTGTAAATTTACACAGATACAAATGAATGTTTGTGTTATGAGGGCTCGTTCGCAAAATGTCCATTGGGCTGCCTTGATCTGCATAGTCAGGTTTTGATGGCTGTCCATGTCCTTCTTGGCGAGATTCAGCCTCTCTCTTTGTCCTGGTGGTCATTGTCACAGAGAGAGTTATCATAAATGTAAAGTTTTACAGTTGTCTCCAGAACAGGAGATGAGAGAAAATCTTCCAATGGAGACACCTGTTTGGATGGCAACTGTCTAAGAGGGTAATTTGTTTCACTTTGTGGGGATTTCTTCTAATTTCCTATTGTGTCTACGGAAAAGGAAGTAATGGGAAATTTCCCCAAGGGGGCACAGAAAGCAAAAGAACCTGGCAAGGTTTTTAACGTTTCCCTACTCTTTCTGAAACCCGAAAAATAAAAGATTTGGCAACACATTTACTCTAAAGTTTAAACTATATAAATACAGCACAACAGAAAAACAGTATTTACAATGTTAAATAGTCAACATTTTCTCATGAATACCTAACACTCACATCCATTCATGCTTATATGAGTACATCACTGAATTGCATATGGTGCTCATTCATAACTCTTTAGTGAACTCTGTTTAAAAAATAAACATTCTTAAAAATAATGACATAAATAAATCCATGGCATAAATAAAAATATGTCATCTTTTTTGTGTCGTGTTTTGCAATTTCCATAAAACACACACCGACTCTATTGAAATACAAACAAAAGAATTCTTCTTGAATAAAGGCCATTAAAGAAATAACGTTGGACAAAATGGATAACAGTTAGGACAGGGAGGGTAAAAGGGGCCACTTGGAGCCAATATTTCGTACATAGAGGCCTAATCCAACAAATATTTCAATAATAAACCAAAACTGGCTTTATAGCACAAGAAAATGATAGAGAAAAGGCCCCAAAACAATGGCCTGGTGAATATGATAAACACTTTCAAAGCTTAATGGGGCGCTACCTCTATGCTTTCTGGAGAATTGTGTCAATTCAGCTGCTGAGACATCAGAGAGATCGTGCTTATATTGTAGATCCACCTACTGGCTGCAAGTAATGAATTATTTTGTGTTATATTTATATATTCATATATTTGTATATTCATGTAATATATCTTTTTAACCTGAATAAAAAAAACTAATACAAACATTAAATTCTATTTTTAGTGCTGGGAATAGTACATTTATTAAAAACACTATCACAGTATTTTTAGTGTTGGAAATACTACATTTTATATAAACACTATAGGTTGTTCTTGAAAGACTCCAGTGTACACCTCAAATAAGGAAATGCTAGCATATCTGACAAATAAAATAACTGTAAAAAAAAACCTACGCAGTGGTCTAAAGAAATTTAGTAGAAAGGGGGTAAGATATCTCAAATCAGTGTTATTTAGAGGACACAGTTCTACTGTATTTCTGGCGGCACTAGATCACATAGCAAGAAGGTGGATCATTATTGTGATAGTGCCATGTGCTAAGAGTGAACTTTGTATGAACTCTGTTTCCCTAAAGCTATCTTAAATCAAGGAATTGAGTTAGCTTTCTCCAGAATACCCTCCATTCAAAGGATGAAGTAAAAAGATAATTTAAGCCAATAAAACATACTGTATATCTAAAGAAAACCTGTAATAAGATGAATGCATAGGTTGCCTTGCTGACCTCTTTCTGAAAATGCTAGCTAACCTGCTATCAAGTCTTTTACCAATCCCGAAAGGTGTGCTAACTTCTCTTTTTCTTTACTTGCTATTTTCAAGTCAGTGAAAACCGTAGCTCCTAAAACAGTCAGGCAACTAGCAATTTCAAAAGAAGATCAGCAATTGTAGTCCATCTATTTCTCTTATTACAGCTGTTCTTTAAAGAGACCCAAAAATGCAGCTAAAAGCATAGAAAGCCCAAGTATGTTAAATGCTTACTTGCAGCGCTTTTCCATAAACTATTTTTTTATTGACTTGCAATGTGCCTCTGAACTTGCTATGGAAACTGATGCTCCATAAAGAGTAATTTCCCTAGCATAGCCCCCCCTCCATCCTTGCAAGTCATAGCCCTCTCCTCTTCTGGTAGTGTCTAATTACCAACTGTGCTGGGCAAGCTTTTCCCTTCCCAACATAAACTGTAGCTGCTGGGGAAGGAGTGAAGGGGAGTTCTATGGAGAGTCACTTGACAGCTCTCAGTCTGCTTGGGCTGCTGATATCACTTCCAAGATGGCGGCACCCAACAGCAGTCTCAGGGCTTTTGGAAGTGTACACAAGGGAGGATTTTACAGGTAAATAACATGCAAAACATTTTAAAACAGTAATAAACTGCTGATTTTGGTGCCCCTAGAAGGTGTTTGCCATCATGTGCTAGTATGCATATTAGTACATTATGGCCGAACCTTGCAGACAATCTCCTCCAGAGCTAAGATATCAGTGCTCTCTTCTGCTACTGGCGCTTTCATCTTCTGCCGTTCTTTTTCCAGGTTCATTGTTCATTGTTTTCGGCCTCTTGATTGGCCAGGATGATGTAACTCCCACACATGTGTATGAAAGTTA